AATAGTATCACAAGTCTGTCCAAGGATATTGAGTGTTCAGTGAGTACTCATTTGGACAGAGTCCTTGAGCGAAAGACCGGTTTAAAAAAGGCCCAGGACATCCAACGAGAGTACCGCGGTGTGATTGAAGAGAGAGTCATGAAACTTCTGCGTGACTTCAAAGACTGCAGCCTGTCTGATGACCAACTGAGAGAGGAGTTTGACAAAATGTGGGCTACCACTACGGCCAACGTACCCACAGTGAAAGAACAAGACATACCTGCCTACATTCTCACCCAACTGAGGAAAAATGTTCTCCATCAGAACGTGAATGAGAACTTCAGAAAGATTGAAAACCTCATGCACTTTGGAATGGGCCCGTTTAAGACCAGAAGCGACCATGTTGACTCCATCATGAAGAAATTTCAACATATGTACAAGGGCAATTTACAATTGTTTGCAGACAATGTCATCGCAACGTCTATTCAGTTTATCCTTGATAAAACGAAGTCCAATGGTGACTACCATGACTCTTTCACACGGGATCTGCTGCAGAGGATTGATGAATTGCTTGATCAAGGGTACAAGTGTCACCAAACCAATACTCAGTTTGAGATTGACCTCAAACTTCATATCTGTGGCATTGCCGCAAGAGAATTCCTCAAGATGCACCAACGATTCCTGTCAAACAATGACCCCCGAACGCAGCTGGAAAAGTACAAGCACCAATACTTGTCGGATTTTCTGGATTTATACAAAGACACTGATCACTGCCAACGCAAAGCAAACAATTTTGTCCAGCTTTGTATCAAGCCGGCCATTGAGGATTGTATCAACCGATCTTTGGGAATTGACATTGTCGATGAGATTTTGACAAGCAGTCATTCCATGACTTACAGTTCACGCTCGTGTTTCCAATACGACATTCAGAAAGAGTTACTGCTGAAAGATGACTTCAACAGTTTTGTCAAGTACATTTGTTCCTATGAAACATATGTGAAGGATCAGATCCTTGAACACATCTACCAAAAAATGGACCAAGACGGGTTATTGTGCAAATTGAAGAAGAAGAAGTTGGAGGATGTAGTTTGTAAGTTATTAAGTGCAATGGAGCAGGCCTCAAAAAAGTTGTCAGGTGATGACACAAACATTCTGAATCTCGTCAACCAAATGCGCAAATATCTGATTAAAGATATTGTCATATCAGAAGAGGCACAACAGCGCAGTCTGTTCCAGATCCAAACCACGTGCGATTCATTTACACAAAGCTTCATTGCAGCCTTGACTACATTAAAGGAAACACTCCTTGATGAATTTTCCAACACTGACGGCACAACCGAAACACTCAATAAACTTGCAACCAAACCGCAGAATGAGCTATTCAAGAGAATATTCGGATGTGGACAGCAATGTCCATTTTGTAAAGTTCCCTGCGAAGCAGGTGGCAAAGAACACAGCAAACATCATGCGGCTGTGCATCGACCACAGGGTCTTGGAAGATTCATGGATGATATCACAGAAGTCCTCGTTGAATCTCTGTGTACAACTGACGTGCAGAGTGATTGTAGATTTCAAAACACGGCAACACAAGGAAAGTCGGTTCAATACAAAGACTACGCAACCATCTATCCTGACTGGCACATTCCCCCAGACCCCACAATGGAAGCATCAGACTATTGGAAGTATGTCCTGGTACGCTACAATAAACAATTTGCGAAAAGGTATGAGGCCAAGCCGGCAAATGTTCCACAGACCTGGAAGAAAATCACAAAGGAGCAAGCACTGAAGGGCTTGAGAGACACTTTCAGCATTAAAGGAGATCATTTGCAGTCTGTAAATTTGTGAGGTCAAAAAATGATATGCAGTGTGCCCGCGTGGGGTAGACAAAAGAAGAGAAGAAAAGAGTTCAAAATATGTCAGTTTTGCTTATTGAAAATAAACATTGTCAAAAATGAATTTACCGTAACTGTATCATGAAATATTATTCGCCTGTCTATGGCGTTCCACATTATGCGTTTGGATTCAGCTAGCGGACTTCCATCAGACAAAAGTCATGTGGTTTGGTTGAAGAAGTGACATTTCCAGTCAATTTTACTTTCTTCCATCCATAGAAACCAGCCAACAGTACATCAACTGTTCTGCTTTCTAACTCACTCATGATGTTTGTACAAGTTTGTGGTATGTGTGTGCTGAAGTCTGTATTCTGCTCATAAGCCCCGTTCACACGGCAACGTTTGGTCCGACGCAGCTCCGAAACAAATCCAGTCGAGCATTCACACGTGCACATTTGCTCCGGCGTAGCTCCACTAAAGAGCTTATACCGGACCAAATTTGATCCACCTCAGGGAGGTGGTTTAAAAATTTGCTCCAGAGCAAATGCTAGTTTGCGACGCTACGCCGAAACAAATGTGCACGTGTGAACGCAGCTGGATTAAATTTGCTCCAGAGCAAATGCTCGCTTGCGGGGGAGTGCCCTCGCTACGCTCGCTACCAGACGCACAGAATCCGACCCCGGTCGACAGTGACGAGGGGGCCAGCGACACAGACGAAGCCCGGCCGTGGACCCCCGTCCCCGGTAAAAGTGTCGGCGATTTAAGCGGTGAAGACAGCGCTCACGATCAAGACGAGAATCGAGAAAGCAGTGACGTCAACCGAGCCCGATTTGCAGGCCCGAGCCTGAAGCAAACCCGACATTTCATATTTTATTTGTGAGTATTTTTGGGAGAAAAAAAACACAAGATTTCTTACGGTTAAAATAATCTACATATTTTTATGAACATTATCAATGCATTTGCACAACGAAATAACGCTGAAATACAGAATAAGAGGCCAGACAAAGAGAAATCTCGATGTGCATTTGCTTAATTACGCAGAGAAATCCTGCGGCTTACTAGGCTTTAAATAGAATAATTCAAATCAAATAAATAGGTAAAGATATCTGAAATTATTTCTATAGGATTGTTTAAACGAAATTAACATACGTGCGCACTGGTCGGGCCGGCCGAGCTCCTGTTTAGCAGTTAAATAGCAATTAAATTACAGCGCATTCTCTGTTTTATCCAAATTGTTTGTTTTAAACCACAACTGCCAACAAGTGGATCTATTCTGAACAAGGACACAATAGTGTCCGCCATAATATTTCTTAAAAGAAAAATAAATAAAAGTCCGCGAGAGAGTAGCCCGACCCGAACCTGTTTTACTTCTGCATTCCTGTCGTTTTGGTCCGCAGCAGAAAGTGCACGTGTGACCGCAAGTGGAACTGCTCCAACGCTGCACCGGAGCTGTCACGCTCAGCGGCTTTGCACGTGTGACCGCTCCACAAAATTTGCTCCGGTGTAAAATATATCGCAACAAAATATTTCGGTGCAGTGTCGGACCAAAAGTGTGCCGTGTGAACAGGGCTATATTTAGTCATGCTGTATAACCTTCCCATGCCCACAGCGTAGCTTGGCGTCCTTGTAACAATCATGGCGTAGAATTGGAATACTCTTGTTTTATTCCTCTCTTCTTTGTTAGATTTGATGGTTACTCCTCTCTGTTAGTTGTGTTTGTTCAGACACTTGAAAGAAACAATGTAGAATGCTGTTGAAGGTATTTCCTGCTCACTGGGTTTACAATCACCTTTCGTGCCCCTTGACCCCCACCACTTTTAGGGCCCCCCTCCATAGGACATGTTTAACATCAAAAGAGGAACTGTTATCTCAAGTATCTGTGTTCCTGCCATCACACCAAATGGTGGGTAGTGGGGGTCTGGTCTCCCCTCACCACTCCCAACTTCTTCCAGCCACACCGGGTCAGATGACATGTTACTTTCTTTGTTTCCGGCATTTGGTTGAGAGGCGTACCTCCCCGCCTCTCATTATCATATTATCTCTATATAATCTCATGAATGTGTTTCTTTTACGCTTCCTGATTGAACTCTGGACCCCTTAGGAGCCCGAATTGATTCGTAAACTGCAGAAAATAAATTAAAAGCCTTCGAAGGAACTGTTCATCGCCTCCAGCCTTTATTTGGATTACCAACATTCTCCTCGTCCGAAATTCAACGAACACGCGGGGAAGGGGAGGCCGCTCTTCCCCCAACAGTGCTTATCTCTGTTTACCACTATAATTGCATAGTACTGCAGGAAAACAGAGCCATCGGTCCTCACCACACAGACACACACCAAAGAGGAGAAAAGAAAAGATGGTTTCATCGACAAACACATTTGTTTCATAAAGTTTCATAGTCTTGTTATGTTCTTTGTAGAATTTAAATCTGATCTTGAGATTTTGAATGACAAGAAAATTTCAAAACTTTAAACAGTGCATGCACCAAGGTTACTCCCACAAATGACATCACTTTTCTCACAAAACACCTCGCAGGTCCACATTCCTGCACTTCATTTGTCTTCCTAAGCTGGAGTGAATCTGTAGCTGAATATGTGAGGCCTTCTTTGTCCATGAACAAACCAACTTAACGACAGGACAGCAGGCACAGGATCAGGACTATCAATGATCAAGTGGCTGAAACTAAGAGGTAAATGTACACTTTCTTAGCAATTGGTGTGAATTGTTTTTCAACATTATGTTTTTTTTTTTGAAGTGACAAAAATACTGTAAATATGCCACACCCACCAACAGCATTCCCAACTTTGGTCGAAGAATCTAAAACCGTGTGGAGAGGGAAAAGTACTGTTCAAGTATGCGATCATTAAACAATTCGGGGCGGCACGGTGGGGAACTGGTGAGCACGTCGGCGGAGGTGCAGGATTCGGTTCCGACTCTGGCCTTCCTCTGTGAAGTTTGCATGTTCTCCCCATGCCTGCGTGAGTTTTCTCCAGGGACCCCGCTTTCCTCCCACATCCACATTCCAGAATGGCAGGTTCATGGAACATTCTAAATTGCCGCGAGCATGTGATTGTGAGCATGAATGGTTGTTTGTCTTTGTGTGCCCTGTGATTGGCAGGCAGGCAGTTCCAGGTGTCCCCCACCTACTGAAGATGGCTGGTGGGGTTGGCTCCAGCACACCCACGACGCTCGTGAGGATGAGCGGATTAGAAAATGGATGGATGGTGTTCAGGAACAGCAGCATATTAGTCATTCAGACTGTATGTTGTAAATTATCCTAACAATTGTGTCAGTGATGTATTTTCATGTCTCACCGTTTTTCGCAGTCACTTTGGTACATTTCTCAGATCAGAATTGAAATTTGCAAAACAGTGAATGCATTTCTCCAAACATACAAAGAGCAAAACATCATGGTTCCTTTGTAAAAGTCAATCTCTTTCTTGCCACCTCAACACTTAATTCAGAAATAAATATCCGCGTCAATGAACATGCGGATTAGAAAATGGAGGAATGAAAGGCAATTCATTCAACTGAAATTTAAAGTTACAAACATAGATCATTGACTGACAAACATATTTCATCTTATAACAAGATAGAAGAATTGAGGTGGTTTGTTGAAAAGCAACCAATCAAAAATTAACTGGAGTTAATTGCAATAGTTGAAGATGACTTCTCATGAGATGTCCACTACTTTTTTTCTGGAATGTTCTGATGCCACCCAGGATGTTATTGAATACTGTGAATGAAGTCGAAGTATAAGTGTGCAGCCTTCGTCAATCAGGAATGTCGGCATGTTCTGCTACATTCCATGTTTCCTTCAAACGTGTACACAGAGACAAAGCCCCGCACGCTTCACACACCGACATCTGTTCTCATGGATGACAGATAGACGTACCTGGTGGGAATGCATATTCATTTTGTTCGATTTTAACGGAGACTGTTCAGATTTTTTTTTTTTAAGAGTATGCTGAAGGCTTGTCAAGGATATGTCATACTTCAAGCACTCCTTCAGCAAGGATTTCACATCACAGACAATGACTTTTGCCGAGGTCACTGATGGATGGTGTATGGTGTCAAACTCAAGGCCTCGGGGCCAGATCTGGCCCGCCACATCATTTTAAGTGGCCCGCGACAGCAAATCAAACATATCAACTTCCACGGTTGATGCTTGGTAAAATCTTGTAAAATTTCCAATTCTCCTATGTACTAAATAACATATATTGTCATCATTTTCTTGTTACAAAACTCCTCATAACACTCACTTCAATAATAGTTGAATAAACCATTTTTCTTGACTTCTTCATGTGGTTTGACAGTCATAATGGCCTCCAAGGGAAACGGTGACTCCCATGTGGCCCGCAACAAAAATGAGTTTGACACCCCTGATATAATGGTTCACCACTTACGCCCCCACACAGTGGTCGTGTAACTCTGTGTGAGAGTGGTTGTTAGTCTTTTTGTGAATTGGGAAGTGGTGTAAAAATGGATGGGAGGTGGAATTTCACTAACTGTTGGTCTGTTCTCATAGATTCTGGCGGCGCTGTGTGTCAACGATGGAGATGAAGGTGTGGGTGGAGGATACAGTCCGAGTGGTGTGTGGCATATCCCAAACTACTTCTTGTCAGGATGTTGTCATTTCTCTCGCACAAGCAATTGGTAGGCTATTTCTTCACACTTCCCACGTCGAACTGAACCAAAACTTTTCGGCAAATTTGTTTTCAAAAAAATAATCATTACCGTGGAACTAGAGGTGTTTCTTACTTCAACATGTAAAAGGGTCTCGCTGCTAAGTAGAAACCGTGCAATATTATTAATATGATTAATTGCAAACCAATTGGACACAAATTTAGTGTACCAAACAGATGCCACGTACTTGGCCATACAAGTTTCTCAATTGTGTTCAAATACTGTTAAGACAATGTTGGAGAGCATTGTATTGGTTTACTATGTTTGACAACAGTGGTGTTTTCAATTCTTGTGAATGGCAGGTAATGTTGTGCATATTGTTTCAATGTCTTTTACCGTACTTGGATACTTCCGGGAATTTCTTTTGAAACATGAACCAACTGGAGGTCCATTAGTGTCTCCAAGCTTATGGTGTTTGACCTTTATGGTTGGAAGCATATTATTTGCCACGTATCAGGGGTGTGCATCTCTTGATGTTTTTCGAGACATGGGGCAGGATATGATTTAAGGATGTTACAATTTTAAAATGTAACGATTCAATTTTGTTCGATTTAGTCGACTTACGATTTCATTCAATATGGTACAGCTGAAGCTTTGGTCATGTTTATTAATATGCTACAACATTTAAAAGCTCTCTAAAGTACAAACTACTCAAGTTAATTCAATTCAATCAGCAAAGTCAAACCAATTTACATCGAATTATATTTGGTGTGCATCTCTCATAAGACGATTGATACTTACCATGATACATGGGCTGCGGTCTGATTCAAGGATGCAACGATTTTGAAATGAAACGATTCGATTCAATTTGTCAAAAGATTTTCCAATTTGATTTTTTTTTTTTTTTTTGGTTACACACCTACATATGACTGTATTTGTGGCTTACATTAACCTGATATCTATTTCGCAGGTCAAACCGGTCGTTATATTCTCATCTCGAAATTACGGGGCACAGAAAGAAAGTTAGGTGCCGATGAATGTCCGCTCCAGCATCTGAATAAGCTTGGACAGTTGGCCACTGAGGTCCAGTTCATTCTGCGACGGACTGGTCCGAGCCTGAGTGATGGGCAAGAGAAAAAATCCAGAGTCATTCACCCGGCTCTGCTCAAACCACAAGTATCAGAATCCTCGCAACGCAGGGAGCCAGAGAAGACTCACACCTTCCATCTGAGTGTGCCAACAGTATCCAGAAGGACTAAATCAAAGCAGGCTCTGGAATCTCCGCGTGAACCGAACGCTTCCCCTGTAAACTTTCTTGATCCTCACGACCCACCAAAGGTAAATGGCACTTCCTTCTCCTCCAAGGAGGAGATATTTAGGCAGATTCTGCAGCAACAGAGGATGCTGAAAGACTTGCAGCTTCATCTTAAAGATCTTGAGGATGAGACTGAGTGGTGGGAACATGAAACAGCATCTGCTACGATTCCTGGAAGGAATTCAGGGTATGCAGAAGAACTGGACAGACTGGAACAATGGTTTGAACATAATGAGGCAGAGCAAATGCAGAGTCAGCTCTGGAGAGAAAGGTTGCAGGAACAACTAGATAGAGAACAAGGTAGGATACCGATGTTTGTCCTTTTGGACTATCTTCAAAATCAAAACTGTCTTCCTTCATTCATTCATCACAACAGAATTGCAGAATGATCTACACCAGATACAGACATCGGTACTTGATCATAATTATCGGATCGAGGAAGTTGTGGGCCATTTGTCACATCTGGAGCGCAACATGCAACTTGAAAGCTCTCAGGTGAATGCTCAACACTCTGAAGGGATCTTGAGGACCCTGCAATGGGAGCTCAGCCATCGCATGCAGCAGAGCAAAGAAATGGATGATACTTTGTCAAGTACTTTGAAAGAGCTGCAAACTGCAGAGGACAAGCTTAGGGTATGATTTTTCATTTTGTGACCATTCTTTGCATGTGTGTAATAGTTTTTTTGCTAATTGAATCTGCATCATTGTTAGGGTATGATTTTTCATTTTGTGACCATTCTTTGAATGTGTGTAATAGGTTTTTTTTGCTAATTGAATCTGCATCATTCTTTAGGGCAAATGGGAGACAATTGAGGAGCTGAAAAAGGAGCTGAGACAATGTAACTTGCAGCATTTCATCCAGCAGACCAGTGGCACTCCACTTGTAGATCAGACAACCTCTTTGCCTGTCAATGAAACCTTCCTCCGCAATGCTGGCATTATGGAAGGGGACAAGCCTGCCGGTGCCATTTACAGTGAATGAAAATGTTAAACAATTACACATGTGAAATTGTGATCGTTCACGATACAGAGTGATATGTCATTATTCATGTTTTCCTTTTCACTGATTATGTTCCAGCTAATGAAAACCCAAAATTCACTCCCTCAACAAATTTGGAGATGCAACACCACAGCTTCATTGCTGTCTTCTGCAGCATCTTGCATATCAATTATTTTACTGCTGAGGGTCATTTTGTACCACGGCAGGAAATGATCAGTTCGACCACAGGATTCAAAGTCATGGCCCGGGGGCCAGATCTGGCCCACCACATCATTTTATGAGGCCCGCGAAAGCAAATCAAGCATGTCAAGTTCCATGATGCTTGCTAAAGTCTGAACCAAAATTTCAAATGGTCATATGTAATCCACAAAACAGTCATTATTCTTGACTTCTGATTTTAAAACTAGTTATTCGTCAATTTGTTGTGCGTTGTGTATGTAACACTGTATGTGGAGGGGATTAAACATTCATAGGGTTTCCAAAATTCATAATGGCCCTCCAAAGGAAACTGTAACTACAATGTGGCCCGTGACAAATATGAGTTTGACACCCCTGAGTTAGACACTCCGCGCATTTTGCAGGTCTTTTCAACACATTCAGGCACAATAAAGGGGACTACCCCTTTCACTAGTGGTGTGTGCGTGCGCGTACGTGCGTCATCGACTGTGTGTGCGTGCATGCGTGCGTCAGTGACTGTACGCGGGTGTGTGTGCGCGTGTGCGTGTGCGTGCGCGCGCGCGTGTGCGTATGGGTGTGTGCGCGTGCGTGTGTGTGTGCGTGTGTGTGTGTGTGCGTGCATGTGTGTGTTTGTGCGTGTGCGTACGTCGTGAGTCAATGACTCATGTGTGTGTGCGTGCGTGAGCGCATGCAAGCGTCAGTGACTGCGCGCGCGCGTGTGTGCGTGTGCGTGTGTGTGTGTGTGTGTGTGTGTGTGTGTGTGTGCGTGCGCGCGCACATGCATATGTGTGTGTGTGCACGTGTGTGTGTGCGTGTGTCCATTTGCTAATAGAGGAAGGTTGGTAAACTAGGGGTAGTAATCTTTCAGATTCAGAAAACTTTATTTATCCCCATGGGGTAATTAGGAGCTAAATGTAAGCATAGTTCCACTGGTATGAGAAGATGGAAGGTTTTTGATGTTACATTGACTATTAGACATTTTGGATAACATAACGGTGCCTTTTCTTGTTGAGCAGAAATCATTGGGTTAAGAGAGAATTGACTGCAAATGTATGATTTTATTTCATGCAAATGTCGATTTAATATGGCGTTTTTCTTTGGAATGTACTGTAAATCGTACACACAAGAAAAGTCTGCTGAGGAAACAGCACAATTATTGTCGTGATTATTTCTCCCTGTTTTCGGACCAAATTCAGGTTGTAACAAAAATCTATACAAGTGACAGCCCATTTACCATTTAAATACAGGTACTGCAGTATGTATGAATTGTAATATGCAACTATGCATAATACTTTCACAGAAGAGGCCACCTTGTGTAATCCAGTTAAGGACTTAGCAGCATGTTCCAGATTTTCTACTGTTTGTGACGGGGATAACATTCTGTTTGCCTTGCTGTGTGTCATCACCTGCAATAAGTTTACAATCTTTAATTTTTAAACACCCGTGATTTAGCTTTGGTAAATTTCATGATTAAATTTGTAAAATGAATGCATCATTTTTGGTTGACAATATCCAGATATTATATGATCAAATGTTCTGTAATCTAATCAAATTTAAATGCTTCAGGATACTGTTTTTAGGGCAATTGATTAATTTGAAAATAGGGTACTGGAGGAGTCAAAATATAGTTTTCTTTTCCTTCAACATTCAGAACGAGAAGAATCAACAAACCAATGAATCCATCCATTCATTTTCTATTTCATGTTTCCTCACTTATATCACAGTGAGCTGGAGCCTGGACCTGTCACCAGCCAATCGCAGGGCCTGTTTGATAAGAACAATCTTTCACACTCACATCTATGTACAATTTAGAGTCTCAATTCACCTCACATGCGTGTTTTTGGAAAGTCAGAGCAAACCGAAGTAGTGCAGAAAACCCACACAAGCATGGGGAGAACATGCTATCCCCACACGGGAAGGCAGGCACCCAAATTTGAACCCCCACCCTCAGGATTATGAGGCAGATGTGCTATCCACGTGTCCACTGTGCTGCCCAAAACAGTATAAACAATGAAAAGCAACAACTGTTTGTAGTTGCCAGAACAGAAGAAAAAACTAATGCACCAGTAGAATTTTGCAACTAATTAGCCCTACACTACGAATGGGAAACTTAAATCCTGTAGGGGCCCACCATTTTCCATCAGTGCTGCTGGGGGACCACATTGAACCATTGGAAATATGGACAAAAATTCAAAATGCAAGCGGAATGCCAAATACATCAATTTAATGTATTTTATTTTTCACATGAGATTTCTCCATTTTACATACCACTACATTCACCCAACAACAAAGGGTTTGAAGCAAACTATAAAATAACCACGTACCATGTACATCACCAAAGTGCAAAGGGCTCTCTTGCAAAAAATAAAAAATAAATAAAAACATTCAAGGATGGCACAAAACTGTTGAACAGCAAACCAACATTCAGTGTGGCATGGCTCAGTGGGAGAGTGGTCATCTCCCATTCCAGAGGTTGGGGCTTCAATCCATGGCCATTGCGATCTTGTTGAGGTGTCCTTGAAAGATACCGAACCCCCATTTGCTCTTCCTGAAGTGCCATCAGTAGGTAAATGAGGAAAAGTGTAAAGTGCCTTGAGTACTAAATGTCGAAAAGTTCTCCTATATAAGTAACGCCCCACTCATCTTTTTACTGTCAATCTAACACAAATACATACATGATGAAAATGATGCTATCTTACACAATGTAAGTAAAATCATGATAGGAGGCTCGCCTTCAAAATTGAATAATTAGACAAAAATCTAAATTTTCCCCTGGTTGGGGACCTCCTGCTGTAGGGTGTGGGCCCACTGTCCAATACTATACTACTGTATATTCTACAACCACAATAAAATTTTAAATTGAGTACTGCAGTCAGCAGTAATATTTACCGGATACTGCTTGTGCTGCATCATGCTGCACTGAAGCAGAATTACTAGTGAGAATAAGAAGCCTGTGTACATGAAAAATTAACATGAATGAACAGATGAGGCACATGTTGCAACACAGGTATACACTGTCCTCAAATTCTGAAGATAATCCCTCATGACAATATCCCTGCCTCAGCTCTCTTAACGGCTTTGTGTATGACCACGATATAAAGGGGGCGGCACAATGAAAGCACAGAACAGGGAGTGCAAAAAGAAAGAGAAACTTCTCTTTGTTTTGCATCTTTTTCTTCTCAGGCCTTCCAGACTGCATCTTCTTCTGGATTCAACCAAACCCCAAACTGACATACAGGTTAGGCTCCTGCTACATTGTCCTATGAGTTTTACTGAAGTTTGGAGTGACTTGAAATTTAATCACAGATAAACAATTGACCTATCCCAGTCAATACATAGTGGAGGGGCGTCGGACTTATGACTCGTCAGGTCAACGCTTTAAATGCTGGGTTGTTTTCCAAACCTACGGGTTAATTATTTTGACACGTCAGACTGATTTGAAGATTGGATTTGGGCAGGCTCAAGAGGTGAAAATCGTCGACACTTTGGACAGGTTCACATTTTGAAGTTTAAGTACCGGTACTATATATTTAGGACTCTATTTTCATAGATAGCGCACGTGTGCTTGGCGTAAAAACTGGCGCATCTGGATTTTTGTTGCAGGGAAAGTCTGGTTTACTGTTTTTGAGAATTTGGCAGACCGCATTGCTCCATGCTGGGCATTCCAGTGCACTGAGGGTGTTTTCTTTTTCATGTCTTCAACACACCTGATATTTTGGCAGATTTGATCGAAGCGCAGGCAGACATATTCTGAGCTCCACAGACGTGTGTGGTGGATGGAATTGTATTTCATGAATAAATATGACAACAGAGTACATCAAACCCTCTGAATCACTATACAAATCAATAAATTAATTCATTGAGTGCATTATTATTATCGTCTTTGAATTAATAGAAGCACTCTGTCTTGCTGTGTCACAACTGTGTGTGTGTGTGTGTGTGTGTGTGTGTGTGATGGTCGTGAAGGGTTATCACACACAGACGCACGATTGTGGTGGAAGATGAAGTGCACACTTCACAGTGACCACCATTTTATCCACAAGGGGGGATCTTGCAGTTTCTATAACGTACTTTGTGTGCATCTTATTTCCTATCTGGACTCCAGCGGGTGTGTTCATTACTTTCGCTGTGTAGACCGCGTGCTTTGCCTGCGCTGAAATTAAAAGGAATTAGAGGATCCGTTTCCTTCGCTTTTTGGGGATTCCGTGCAAGCATCCCTTTCTAACTACACTCGTCTATGAAAATACCAAAAGAAAACTCCATCCATACGTGCACAGTTAGCCTTCGCACTAAACTTGAACTGGAGATGAAAATAGCGCCCTGAATGTAACATTTTTAGAAAACGTTGAGGGAGGCTGGGTGGCTCAGTGGGTGACACTGCTGACTTTGGACACTGTGGTTGGGGTTCATATCCGAGTCAACGTGGAGAACCCCCCCACTCACCACCAACACCACCCTCAACACCCACAGAAAACGGCTTTGTTGCACGCATAAGGAGGACATCCGGTGTTTAAAAACTGCCAAACATACAAATGACTCGTGACAACCCCTGACACGACTTCTTAGAAAAACTTGTTTGTAAAATGGTTTGGTACACTGTATTTTTAGAGCAGCTTTTTACGGGAATATACTGTAATAGTGGACAAACGTGGGCATGTACTGTATGCCAAAATGACGGCAGCCGTGTATTGACTTGGACCTATTTTATCACAAAAGTGTGTTCCATTCATTCAATGTTTTACTGTATTTGTGGGAAATAATGCAGTAATTTATTGGTTTCCTAGAAATGAATGGGGCGGCAGAACCAGAGGGCGCCAATGCCAATCCTCCCAAGTCAAAGGAGAAGGAGACAAGACTGTTTAAGAGCAAGCCTCCCAAAGCTGGACAGAAGGAGTAAGTTGACAGTCAACACAAGTCACGGATCATTACAATGTTAACATTTTAAATTATATAGTGAAATCTTCTTCTTAGATTTGATGATGTTCCTGGGATGGATGGCATCAGAGGTACAGTACCCATCACTGGAATAAGTAAGTAGCGACCAACACTGTTTGAACATGTGTTTTCTTGCTTTGCTTTAGATGCAGAAGTCATCTGCCCCTGGGAGGCTTTTGGGGACATGGAGCTGAGTGATCTGGCCCAGTTTGGGATTGTCTAAAGACTGTGCCACCAAAACGCAATTCATTCAGATTTATTGTTCTTTCGAATGTTTGCTGGAAAGCTGGTATGGGTTGTAAATGGGAACAGCTGACACTGTGAAATGGAGGAAGATCTTGAGGTGTAACATTTCACATTTTGCGCTGCTTGCTACAGCTTCAACATTAAGAATCTTTTTTTTTTTCTAGTCGCTTTTAGGAGTATCGTACCTTGTTGTCCTTCTTTAGCCCAGCATTTGTAAAAGTGTAACACACTGTACTCCTGCTTGGGTTTGAATCACGTAAAATGTAAATCTATGCTTCTGTGCTGTTTAATGTTAACTTGTAATAAATTCATATTTGAATAACCTTTTCTGTGGGACTCACTTTTTATTTGTTTGATATGGATACGTGAACCATTTTCAGTGGGAGTGTTTCAGCACCCCCTGGACTGAGAAAATTTGCCCATTTTCATGTATGTACATATCATTATATTTCTCGTATGGTTTGAATCAAACATCCATGCTGTCATTCCAAAACTTATAGTGCCAGAGGCCAATTTGAGTTCTTAAAATCCTCTGAATCCAATCAAAATGTCAACATATGAGAGTCAGTAATTCCCAGGGTGGCGGCCCGGTGGTCCAGTGGTTAGCGCGTCGACCTCACAGTGCAGAGTTTCAATTCCAGCTCCGGCCTCCCTGTGTGGAGTTTGCATGTTCTCCCCGGGCCTGCGTGGGTTTTCACCGGGTACTCCGGTTTCCTCCCACATTCCAAAAACATGCATGGCAGGCTGATTGAACATTCTAAATTGTCCCTAGGTGTGAGTGTGAGTCCTCTCTGTGTGCCCTGTGATTGGCTGGCAACTAGTTCAGGGTGTCCCCCGCCTACTGCCCGTAGACAGCTGGTATAGGCTCCAGCACCCCCCGAAACCCTTGTGAGGATAAGCAGATCGGAAAATGAATGAATGAATAATTCCCAGAGCAGTGAATCAATTTATGAAATCTCTGTTCCATGAATGAATAATTCCCAGAGCAGTGAATCAATTTATGAAATCTCTGTTCCATGAATGAATAATTCCCAGAGCAGTGAATCAATTTATGAAATCTCTGTTCCATGAATGAATAATTCCCAGAGCAGTGAATCAATTTATGAAATCTCTGTTCCATAAATACTCCTAAATCTACTGTCTGGAATGACAAAACTCCTATTAAACCTCCAGATACTACATAACAGTTATCTAAAATGTCTGATCTCGATTTAAATACTCCTTAAAAGTTACATAAATACTGAGTAAATCAACTGACGGGGTCTGCTTAGTTACATATATACAGATTTGGATTGAAAGTGGACTGGAATATTCCATTTGCTAAAATACAGTATATACTGTATTTAACCAGAATGAGCATACAGGAACATGGAGACCTATCAGTGCGATTCACTCATCTTCACAAGGCTTGGGGGTGTGCTGGTGCCTATGCCAGCTGTCTTCGAGCAGTACACCCTGAATTGGTTCCCAGCCAAACGTAGGGCACATATGGACAGAGAACCACTAATCACACCTCGGGACAATTTCGAGTGTTCAATCAACCTACCATGCATGCTTTTGGAATGTGACAGGAAACCGGAGTACCCAGACAAAACCCACAGAGGCACGGGGAGAACATGCAAACTCCACACAGCCCGGAATTAAACCTATGACATCTGACAAACGCCTCATTCTGTTTCACCCATGCCAGTCTTGTCTATGTTCCTCTGAACAGGATGTAACTGGGAAGTGAATTCTTTGTGTGTTTCTTGCATACATGGTCAATAAATCTGATTCGGTTTCTGAACTGTGAGGCGGATATACTAACCAGGTTACACTGTGTTGCTGACATGACCACATTCTCGCTTTTCTTCCACTCAACAATTTAACACTCCTTTCTTTATCCAACTACTGTACAAAGTACAATATTCACTGTGTTTGGAAAACTGCAATATCCATAGACTTAGCAAAATCACAGCACATTCTTCTGAGCCATGGTGCCTCCCTGACGAACATATTGTAATGTAAAAAATAATGAATAAGAAGATACAGAAGGACACCTGATTCCTCACACTTTCTTGCTTTCCTTTTTATTTAGTCCTCTTGCACTTAATGGTGCGTAGAGCCAAACATTGCAACCAGGTCTCTCCATCTGGGTCTATTGTGGGTAAGATGTTGAGCTTGTGCCAGGGTCACATTGCAGGCCTCAAGGTCCAGGTCTATTACATCCAGCCAGCGAGTGTGGGGGGCACCTCTGGGTCGTCTCCAACCAGCTTGCTGGGTTGTTGAAGGCCAAGATGGTGAGGGTTGGGTGTTCCTGGGGCAGGCGGATGACATGGCCATACCATCGCACTCGGCACATTGCTGCGAGACGGGAGGCTGGTGGTCGTTTCGTTTTGTCTCTTAGAGTCTGATTTGTGATGTGCTGAGTCCACGACATACCTTCATTCCTCCTGAGGGCCCTGGAGTCAAACCCATCAAGCCTGGCCGCAAGAGTGCTATTCAGTGGCCAGGTTTCGGAGCAGTAGAGGAGGACAGAGATGACTGAGGCATTGTTGACTCTGAGCTTTGTTTCCCGGGATATGTGCCGGTGGCGCCACAGCGGTCTCCACAGGGACTGCGTGACAGAGGCTGCAAGGGCGCGGCAACGGTCAACCTCTGTTTTGAGGTCTCCATTGTTAGTCACTGTCAAGCCGAGATATTGAAATTCCTCACACTAGTACTCACTAAAGTCACTAAACAAATAACTACATTACAGAACACACAGGAAAGGAAGACTGTCTGTAAAGAACATTGTGAAATACATTGTGGGAGTATTCAAATTCACATTTTTGTCTGAGGGATATTTCTGTTTTAGGTTTGTGACTGCTAAAAACGAAAATATTAAGATTTGTTGTATACTCTGTGCGATCAATAGAGTTTTGACAGTGGCTTCAATAAGATAACAAAAAGAAACAAAAAAAAAGCAGCAGGTTACTCTTAAAAGCAACCGGATGTCATTTGTATCTTAAACGGGGTTGTCGGTATCTGCTGAATGTAATCATTACAGTAACTTGTAATCTACAATTGTTACCTTTAAAGCAAGTAATCACTCAAGTGACTAAGTTACGTTTTCAAGTCAAGTGCAGCAACACTATCATCAATCGATTGCTGTCAAAATGGACCTAAACTAGATTTTGGTTGGTACTGTGTACGCGTGTGGCAACTCTGATCCCAGGATTGCTCTTGTGCCCAAATTTCCAGGGAATGTTGGTCCACTATAACATACATGGCAATTTTCCGCGGATCCGCGGAAATCCGCCGTTTTATTTCTTAAATTGATCATTTTTGTGAATCGTCTAAATCCGTTGAGAAAAATTTAGGGGCGGTGAGATACCTTATCGTCGAGTTTTCACGAGCTCTCCCGAACAGTCTCTCTATTTTCCGTTTGTAAACAGTCCTGCGATTGGACGTGTATGAAAGCTTCATTTAATCAGATCATTGACGGCATTATTTGTTGCGGGAGTCTTAGCTCGATTATATACGGCCCAGCGATTGGTTAACTACAAGCGATTGGACCAATCAAATTGCATGTAACATATTGTTTTACCTGATTCATGGCGGCCTCTTCGTCTCGCAAATTCATTGTTCTCGGATCGTTTTGAGCGGAATTATGAAATTTTTGACGAAAGATCAGGAGTCTTCAATCCTAGAAATTGACTCAAATGTCAAGAATAAATTCCGATTGGACTGGCTTGACAGAAAAGTCACTGTAAAGGTTAAAATTGGTTCCAAGTTCGACGAAGTTACAGAAGCTCTTGGACAAT